CTACAAACCCACAACCGAGAAGATTTTGGGGTAAATACAAAGTGTCCTCCTCATTTCTTTTTCATTTTGTGTTCAGTTCATTCTCCAGTTCTGTTAATTTACGAGAGGCTTTCACTTTATTGGATACATCTTGACCTTGTGAAAAAAGACGCTGGCGTTCCTTGAATGTCAAGTTTTCAGGGGCCCCAGAACTTCCAGGTAAATCTGCATCTTGGCTGCAGAAGAGGGCAATACGAAAGATTACTGGACAAACTAGAAACCACCTGTCAACAATTACATACGTTTGCATAACGGCAATTAAAATTTTCAGACTCATTCTTTGTTGAATTGTGCTATAACTTTTCCTACAATTGAAATCACGGGCTGTATTTAAACCCATCTAGAAAAAAAGGGCAACATGTTTTCTTGGCTAAAACATTAACTTTCCCTAGTCATAGTCAACTCTCAAAAACCTTGTAAGTTAGATTTTAGCAAGCAGGCAATTCTTACCAGTTAAACAAGTGTAACCTGAGGGGTACAGTTTTAAAATACAGCACTTTAAGGAATCTTACATGTACCTGAGAGGCATCTATAAATATGCCAAAGTTAATAATAAGTTACAGAATGGTACTGATGATTTTTCTGGTGAGTTCAAATTCACTGTTTTAAGAACACTTGGGGCAATAGCATTTCTAACTAAAATCGAGGTGAGGGCATAGAGTGAAGCCATGAAGTCTGTTTATATAATTTAAAAGTACCATGAAGAGTGAAAGGGGTCATCAGGTACAGATGAAGTTCCTTGTCTAGCGCAACTGTCTATACCTTTTAGAACGCTTCTCTTTCGCATCCCGATAAGCGTCATGGGCTCCAACAGCTGCTCCGGCAGATCCTGGGTAAGAGTTTGGTCCTTTTCCATGAAAGAAACAGTACAAGTTAAAGTACTTCATTATTTCTAAGCTCTACTCATGATAAAGATGCAGTGCTCAGAGAATAAAAAAATACCTTTACTGATTAAGCAGGAAGGTAAAAGACCCTTCATATTGTATCAAAATTCATCAATTTGAAATTCACCTCTGTTGGTGGCCTGAGTAATCCAATTACTACTCTCAAAAGGTGCTAAAAAACTGACCTGACACCCTTCATTATTAGAGAGGAATACTGCCCATGGCCCCGCTCTGCCTCGGACAGCAGAGCAACTCTGGGTGAGTGTAATAACATCAACCCATTCTGGGTGAGTGTAACATCAATCCATCGGCAACATTTGCCCTGTTCCTACTGGCTTCAGGGGATTGCTAAGGATCAAAAGATGTGATGCAGATACAAAGTTTTAAATGTATCCAAGTAATAATGTCGCTAAGTGTATCCAAGTAACAATCAATGTCATATTGTTAAAATCATAATACAGTAAATCAGTGTTAATGTATTTCTATTAATTGCAGCATTAGAAAAATTCACACTTGAAAAATCTGCTGACAGTGTAATACAGGCTGGAGTAACAAATGCTCAAACTATTTAGCAAACACTGACAGCAATGAATATTGGATTAAACAGGCCACAAAAGTAGTACAATATTTTCACATTAAAATTCTTTTTCAAACAACTTGCACAAAAATACATTTTTGTTTCTCCTCTTCTACAAAAGGGCCTGCTGTGCAGAACTTATCTGACGTACTGCAGACGGGACACAGCTGCCTTTTGAAGGGCGCCTCTTTGCACTGCACCTTTACTCAGGTTTCCCACCACCACCGTGGAGGACGCCGTCCTCAGCTAAGACTCAAAAGATTCAACAGAAACACATCTCTACCTTATGACAATCTATAGCGGGCCTTTAGATACATTACTGCGTGGAGACATTTTTTCCCATTTTAATTCCAAATTTTTTATCTTGTTTATTTTTAAAAACATTGCGTTGTATCTTTTGAGCTTTGTTTTAAGAATGATACTGGCTTTTTCCACTGGTAAAATTAATTCTTCAAAATTTTCAGAACTTTTAGACTCAAGAGTATCAAATATCTTTAGCTGACTCTCTATGAATACTCCAAGTCACAGATCATTTTCAAAAAGCTTTAGTGATGAATCTTTCATATAGTGCTACGTTCAAATCTGGTATTACTCATTCCAATTCACATCTTAATGCTGTTCCTCTCACTGTCCAGTGGAAGAAGCCGAGTCCATCTGCAGAAGCATGCTTTACCAGAGCGCTCGCGACAGAAACAGAGCTGAGCAAGGAATGAGACCATGCTAGTGAAATGAGGAGGACAAGGTCAGAATGCGCTCTGCACACGGTGCAGACGGCTCTGTACATTACGAAGAAGTCTTCGAAGAGGCGGAGCAATCAGATGTCGGCTATGACCTGGTCCTGTGTGGTACTTCACGTGTGCAGTAAAATAAGGGTTAGCGGTAGGACTGAGAGCCAAGATGGTGAGCAGTGACACCTCACTATAACACTTGGCTACCAAACCTCACATTTCTGTCATCTTAAGTTCAGCTTATAAAAACTCCATACAAGGAGACTGATGGCATCCTGCTTCAAAATGTACCATTATTCTATAAATTTCTCTGAAAGGTACTAAATTATAGATATTTACAACAGATATTTCATAAAGTGATTTAATCCTGGCTTCCAAGGTGACTCAACCTAATATTATTATATATTAAACCTTCAAAGTAGATCAAAGCTCTGAGCCGGGGGGGAAAAAGACAGAATTCTGGCAAAATTCATCTGTTATTTGAGTAAGACTGACAGTTACACTGAGTCTTATTCTTCTTTCAGAATTGTCGAGTCCCATACACTGTTTATGCAGAAAGACACAGGATTCAGAAGACTCTCAAACACTCATTAAAAGTAATACTCCTGTATTTGAAGATATTTAGTGCCAGAATTCCAGTCCCATTTAAGGTAAGATTAGTGTGAAATCTGAATCCTTATGAATTCAGCTATATTTTAAACATGGTGTCTCGAAAACACTGACTACTGAACCCATGCTTGTGACAGCCTCTAGGCCCTGCCCCCTGCAGAACTGTCCTGCTCTACAGTCAGTGTAGGGGGTTTCCCTAAGGTCAGCTGCACGCCTGCTAAGGTCTGGCTGCTGGTGTTACTAGGTGCTAAGAGTGCAAGTAACAGGGAGCAGTGAAGCCAGTTAGAGGAAAAGGGGATGAGAGGAATTTCACTGTAACTGGGGTCTCTGGACTCTGGCGTGAGGCAGCCTGCACGGAGATTATGAAGCCAACAGTTAACCAGCTTAGCAGATGCTCCGGCCACACCAACCAAACCACCATGAGAATGCATGATTTATTCCACAGGCTACTTAATCCAGAACAGAAAGTTCTACCAATATTAAATAATGGAAACTTACAATGTAATTATAACACTTTGTCTTTAGAGACACTACAATGTGTGAAAAGGCACTTGTTCAAACAAATATAAGGTCATTTGTAGAGATAGAAAATGAAAGCCAAGACCAACAGTACTTCAAGTGATTTGGCAACAACACAGAAGGACTGATTGTCAGCTGATCAGAGAAATGGAACTTTTTAAAGTGCAAAAGAAATCGGAGTACTAAGATATCTACCAAAGAGTATTAGCAAAGAACATTACAATCAGAGGCAGAGGAGGATCACCATGCTGAGACCAGTGATCATGTGACATCCAAATTCCAAAGCAAGTACGATCGCCATGGACCATACAACAGGGCAAGTGTGCAGAGAGATGCTGCGGTTCCAATCATTAAGACAACGAGCGCTGATTTGTCACTCTTTTACCTCTACCTTTGCAGTGGCTGGGATGGTAGGAGCTGGATTTTTTTGGAGGGGGCGGGGGCTGGCCTTTTTTGTGAGCAGTACTGTTGGCTTTGGCTGGGGATGGCTGGAATGAGTTCGAGAGAAAGATGCCATCGGAGGCCGGGCGTGGCTGGCAGGGGGGTGGCCGTGGTTTAAGAGGGGCAGGAAGAAGGTCCCCATGAGACACTCTCGTGCTGGAGTACTTATCCTGACCTGCTAGGCTGCAGTCCTCCTCCTCCTCCTCCTCATTGTATGCAACAAACTTGGCAGTGAACAGCGAGTCGGGGGAGAGGACCTGGGTTTTGAGGTAGGAGGCGTTTCGCTGAGGCGGGGGAGGAGGGGCGCCGGGCGCGGGGGACGGGGACGGGGGCTCGTAGTCCCGCGGAAGCGGAGGGCGGCACAGACCAGGTGCCTCGGGCTCCAGCAACCTGCGCGCCGCCTCGTCGTGCTGTCTGCGCCTCTCAGCTTCCAGGCGGCTGTAATACCCTTCTTCCTGTCGCCTCTGCGGGCGGGAATAGACAAGAGTGCAAAGGTCAGAGGTCAGAAGGGAACAGCCGACCCACTGGGCCTTCAAAGGGAACAATCCTCATCATCACACTGACGTCAAAGTTGAATAGTTACAATTACTATATAACAGAAGCAGCAGGTCCATCCGAAGTCTTCTCCCTAGGCTTACAAGTAATTAACACTATTCTGGATTATTTGACAGAAAACTGCTCAAAAGCACGGAATGGATTAATTCTCAGCCTCCTGCTTCCCAGTCACTTATGCCTCTCCATTATCCCAGTGGACTGAATTCTCCTCTGCTTTCCTTCTTTCCTTCCTCCATGCTCCTGTTACTTCTTTCTCTCTCTCCTCTTCTGATTTTGGCAGGATATGAACTTACCTGTTACTGTAGTGTTTAAAGATAACGCAAAACTAAAAATAGGCTGTGACTGGCTTTCTATAGCCAGCACTTTCCGAAAGGCAAACTTGCGTTCTTTTTCACTGAGCCCCCATGAATGCAGAGGAGCAGTCCTTCCTGGACAAGGAGGACGTGACTGAACCACCCTGTCTACTTCCGGTTACTAGGAAGGAGATCAACAGGAAACCAGAAATGAAAAAAAAAAAAAAAAAAAAAAACCCAAAAAACACTCATTCTCCCAAAGTAACAATCTAACAAATATGCTTTCCATAGTTCTTAACTTATATTTCAAATCTTAATGAACTCCCTGACAGACAGAAAATTAGAGAGCCAGGAATTAACAGCAACAGCAACAAGAGATTCAAATATATTTTGACACATACTGTACATGTTTTTCTCACATACATCGGCACAAAACTACAGTTGACAGTGTTAAAATTATTTTAACATTAAAAAAAGGTAACAGCACAGTTTTGTTAAAGATTGACAAAAGTTTCAGAGCACAAGAAAAAAGTAAATAAGAAGGGGGATGAAAGAGCAAACAGAATAAACTGCCTCGAGTAAATGTTTAATGCTGTGAAATGAAGTACAATGAATTTTAAATTCGTTCAACCGAAGAAAACTAATTTGAGAGACCTTGCTGGCATTCAGTGAAAAGTTGTTAGTCCTATTTTCAATTTCATGCTGTATTTTCTCCCTACTCCCTCTAGAGCCACACACACACACACACACACACACACACACACGAGTGAACATGCAATATCACTCCACCTCTTGAGGGAGAAAACTCTTAAGAATAAATGCCAGCCCAATTACTGCCCTGAGCCCAATTTCTCATTGAATCTTCTTGCTCTATGTTCAGAAATCCTGAAGGAAGACTCTCATTTTCTTGTCTACACAGAGTAAGTGTTCCCTTGGAGTGAGGAGTAAACCAGAATGACTTCTTGTGGCTTTTAAATGGAACTATCAAGAATCTTGGTATTAACATGAAGAACAGTTGCTTGATAACATTTTAGGGAGAAATCAAAACATCCTCTTTTAGTTATACCAAGAGCAGATACAATTACAAGACGACTTTATTCTACCCAACAAATGAATGGCACATTTTTCTATAACAAAGCAAACCCATGAGTTTTGGACATTCTGATATAAAAATAGGTTATTCGCCTTCTTTTTACAGTGACCACTTAATTATAGAAGCAGTTACTAACACAAGTGTATTTGACATAATCATGAGTTATGAAAACACATTGGAAAAATTAAATAACCCAAGAGTTTCTCAACATAGGAAAAACATGGCCTGGTCCTCTCTGTATGTGCTCTGTGCTGCCGTGACAACTCAGCTGCCCCCGTCGAGGCTCCAGCGTGGCCAGGACTGGGCCCAGCTGTAACAATGGGCACTGTGCAGGGCCTGGGACAGCCAAGCTGGCACTGCCCTGGAAAAATACAGCCCTCCAAGCAGCCAGGGAGTGCTTTCACGGAACAGCAAAGCAGCAGCAAACACCGTCAACACTCAGACATCAAGCGGCTCAGCATTTTGGAAATCTGATTTCCTTAGAAAGATCATCAATGTTGACTTACCATTACACAAGTGAAAGACTCATAGGGGAACCTAATCCTGAAAGCTCAAACTCTTTGAAAGGACTTCAAACGCTATTCAGAGTCAACAGATAATATGATAATAAACTTAGAGGGCAAAGGTCTACGAAATGCAGAAATCACCAATTTCAACACAGGTGAGTGTCCTTATTCACTCTACTCCATTTAAGTGAAGTCACATCATGTCTATCAAGCTTACTGTTAGATTGCTCTATATCCTAATAGATCATATCACTACAAAAAACTCCCTACAAGTTCTTTTCTGTGAACAGTACACTGTTCTATTAATATAGTTCACTAGACTATCGAAGAAGGAATTATTAATAAAAACTAAATTTTCCGCCATCAGAAGTTGTAACACTGAAAGCTTCTACCTTCACAGAAGGGAAGTAACAGAGAAGAGCAGCTTCTCTCAAACCACAAAGAGCAACACGCAGTCCCCTCGGGATGACACAGGCCCCCACAGGGAGCTCAATGGCTACAGCCTCTTCATCCAGAGGGCATTGGCCACACACAGGACGAAGGGAGATATGGAGAGAAACATCTCAAAATCCCCATTTCTCAGAATGTCAAAATTCGCTGTCATTTTAAAATTCAATTAAAAGGGTTACTTGACTTAAACACACACACACACAAATGAAAATAAGTAACTCAGAATATTTACTGGATTACATACTAAATTTTCCTGTATCATGTTTTCTAAGCCATCTGCTCCCTTTACCATCAACCAGAAGTGAGTGATTTGAGTAAACCATCTATTTGAAATGTTGAATGGCAGCCAACTGTCTTACTATGCTTCTACTGCTTCCCACGGTCCACATGCCATTTAAGCAATCACTGAACAAATGTCACCTTCACAATGACAAGCTGGGCCATGTCCAGTAAAGATGAGTGCCCGAGGAAACGAACCGTTTGCAAAGAGGCTCACTGCTACACACACCCAAGAGTTCAGAAGTTTGAGGGAGACAAAACTTGGCAGATAAGGGGATCTGGAGACAGTCCAGAAGAGAGGTAGGTGGGCCAGACGGGGTAAAGTTGCTGGTCCAATCACAAAGCTGGGGGAGCCAGGCCCTGCTCTGCCTTGTGCTTCTTAAGACACACAGAACTTCCAGCCCGCTCTGCCCCAGCCAATCGATTACGTTCAGGCTAACTTGGTAAAATTCTAGCTGCCCTTAGAGGACCATAACCTTTTCTTCAGCATCTCGTTTTGTTCGCTCCTCCTCCTGCCGCCGGCGCTCTTCCTCTTGCCTCGCTCGGTCTTCCGCTTCCCGCTTGCGCATCTCTTCTAACTGCTGCTGCCGCCTCCGCTCCTCGTCCTGCAACTAACAACAGGCTGACATTAATCTCCCTCCATAAACTCCACCAGCACAAGACATAAAATGCACACATTAAGACAAGTAGACACACATATACACATACACACACACAGAAAGTTAAATACAAAATACCAGGTTAAAATCACTGTTGGAAGATAAAACTTTTTACATTTTTTTAGCTCTACAGTTTTAAAATAAATTACCTAAAAACTGTTGTCACAAATCCCAGAGTTATTCCTCCATTAATCATGGCTATAAGATGGAATTTATCACCTACATTCACACATTCAACAAGCACAATTCTTTTACTGGAACAATATTAGTTAACCCGTTCACGTAACTTAACAGGCTCAAACAGATAGGCCCCACTTGATGGGCCTGCAGAACACACTTAAACACCTCCTTCCCTCTCCCTTTTCAATTTCCACTATGAATGTCTTGTAGAAGAGGGAGGCCCCCACTTGCCTCTGCATAGGTGAGACAGAAGCAGCATATGTGACTCCAGTGGGCCGGGCAGTCATCGGTCTTGCCTGGGGACCAAGGCCTGCCACTCTCTTTCCTCTGCCCTTTGCCATCAGGTCCCTCCAGATCCCACCCTGGATTCAAGAATTTCCTCCTGACTCAGGAGCACCCTACACTCTGCACCATGGACCCTGAAACTGAGATGGAAGCACCCTACGGTCTGCACCATGGACCCTGAAACTGAGATGGGAGCACCCTACGGTCTGCACCATGGACCCTGAAACTGAGATGGAAGCACCCTACGGTCTGCAGCATGGACCCTGAAACTGAGATGGGAGCACCCTACGGTCTGCACCATGGACCCTGAAACTGAGATGGGAGTACCCTACGGTCTGCACCATGGACCCTGAAACTGAGATGGGAGCACCCTACAGTCTGCACCATGGACCCTGAAACGGAGATGGGAAGGAGCCCTATCTCACCCTCCTATCTCACGCTCTTCTGTCTGGACCTAATGTTGAACTCTCAGTCAATACAATCCATTCTGTTTTCAGGTAACCACAAGTCAAGAAGTCCTTATGTTAACAATTCATTACCTGACTGTTTTTCTCTTTTTGGTCATTCAAGTTCTGCCTTTTTGAAACAACACAAAAAGATACTTTTCCTCCGTATCATTCAAATACTTAAGGATGTCCTCCAAATACCTAAGTCTCTTCTTTTCAATTTTTAGCTCCTTTATCCTTCTGCTCACATCTCTATGTACCATAGGTTGAAAATACCTTTCCTAAAGAGGAACCCTGGATTAACAACCAGTGAAGAACAGAAAGACTCACCCTTTTTGTCTCAGATACACAGCTTTTCTGTTATTCTAGTCTAAAATAATGGCAACTTTGAAAATTGTGTTCTCCATTTACTTATCTGCATAGACCTGTGCTACAGGAACACCCACAGCTCTATTATCATACATCATGAAGAAGTAATCAATGTTTATAGGATTAAAATGAAACTTAAAGCCATCTAGTTCAATCTCTGACCACTTCAGGAATCCCTTACAGAAAATTCCTGTTTCAATTTCTACAGAATTAGCAGTTTGTCTATACATTTTTTGTAGCAGAAATATAAGAATGTTAGCTGCTGGGATTTGAACTGTGTTTGTATTTTTTTTTTTAAATAAAAATCTAACAACTTCACTCTCCCTTGACTTCTGTGAAGAAAACACTGTATCTGGTGAGAAAGAATAAATTAACCTGTGTTATTAGGCTTTTTCATGTCAATAAACAATAATAAAACATCTTAGAAAAAAATTATAATTGCCTTCTCAAAGAGACAAGTAATTGAACTGTCTCTAAAGACAACCCATCCATACCCCTGAGGGATGTTAGGATGACGGGCTTTTAGGGGGGTTATAGCAGGAGGAGATGCCACTAAGAACCCAGAAGGAAGCCATCGGTGATGCCTTGCCCCTGAGTTGACAGAACCAGCCACAGCTCCCCGTGGGCTTCCTGCATGAGGGGCCAGAGGAAAGGACGGGAACGTTCAACAAGGATTTCAGGGGTCAGGAAAAACTAGGAGAACTAGGAGAAACAGCGCCCAAACAAAAATAGCAAAATAAAGCAAGTGAGAATATTAAATATTCTACAGAAAAGTAATTTAGGGTAGAATGTAAAATTGCATTAATGCAATATGGGTGTTATCCTTATCCCACAAAGCACAAACTAAGTTATGTTAATATTTTCTAGCCCCAATTAAAAGTAAGTGCGGAGCAAGAGAGTGTTACACAATGGTAGAGTCCATTAGTTCTTTTAAATAGAAGTATATTTTAAGAAATCAGAACAATGATCATTTTCATCACTTTTTATAAATCTATAAACAGGCATTTTCTTCTTAAAAACCTCTATTCTTCTAAATCTGGAATGCACTAAGCAAGGAGCCTCTCCCTGTGTTCAGCTCATTAGTTACTATTCGTAAAGGAAGGCAAATTAACCAGCACCAGTGTAATCAAGGCAGTTTCTTTCCACTCTTTGGCTAATTCACGTATTTCCATTTCCAAAACATAAATTGTTTTGCTCTTCAAAGCTATGTTGCTTTACTCCCACCATTCACAAAGCATTAATGAGAAAAATGAGACTCTCTTAATTTACTCAAAATAAGAGCTTAAAACAGTACATTGAATTGTATGGGTTACTTATATTCAGTAACAGTTAAAGGATATTTTAACTTAAATTACAAATTTAATCACCCTGCAATCCAGTGGCAAACTGCCTATTACGTTAGCACTTTGATTAAAAGAATGAAAAGTTACGTGCTACCAAAATAGCCTTGCAGGAAGTGATATCTGAGGGAAGAGCAGAATAGATTAAAAAATAACTATTACCCGATGAATCAAGACCATGCAGACTGAAAGTTATTCTAAATCCACAACTATGCTGGGATTTGAAAGCCAGTATGTGGCAAGCTTGAGGTAGTCCACATTCCCCAAAACAGGTATTTTCAGGATCGATCTATCGATCGATCGATCTATCTATCTGTTGAGATCTGTGTGTTTATAATTTTGTATCATCAAAATGAAACTGGTATGTGAACATAAAATGGGGCCATAACATCCTTTACTTTTTGACAAATTACTAAAAACACGACTCTGTTAAAGCCCTTAAAAAGCCTTTTTCTCTACAGACGTTTTCTGCATATGCTCCCTCCCGTTAAAAATGTCCACGCTAAAAAAACTTTAAGGACAAAAACATGAAGAAAACTCCTGATTAGATCATTTATGACAAATGAATGACTGAATTGGAATGCCTTTGGTAAGTAATATATAACACCTGGATTTCAGGACGAGCAAAAGTCTTCTCTATGTCTCAGGGACCGACTTCCTCATCAGGAAAACGAAATCCTCTCTCACAGAGGCAGAGTGTGTTAAATGACACAGGAGAAACCATCCACTGCAGCACCTGGCACTCAGTAAGCGCTAGCTCCCTTCCTGTAGCACAGCCCACACACGTTTTTCAGATTTAAGTAAAATGACCACTTTATTAGAAGTTGTAAGATCTAGAGCTTAGCTGGTGAAAGGCCCTTGTGGCAGAGACTAAACAGCATAATCCCCAAGTAAAACAGTGTGGCTCTATGTGGCCTACAACAGAAACCTGAAGTTCTTTTAGGGCAACTGTTTTACGCAATCATACAAACTTTGTATTCCATTCTGTAATATGCATGTGTTGGTTTTAATACGAACATATTTCTTCTCCTAATTCCTTGAGTAAAACTGAGACTTCCTGAAGATGCACTGCGACTAAACTACAGCTTTGATATTCTGGGCAGGGCCCATTTTCATTCCAGAGGCATTCCAATTTGAATAGACAAAATACAGTCTGACTTCCCACAGATAGATTTCTCTGAAGAAATACTTCTGAAATGAGGCTTCCTACTAATTCCTGCTTGAAATTTTTATAAGGCTTTTAATCCAACCCCTTCTATACCTGGGATGCTCAAGAGGGTATGCCCAATTTCTACAGTTCCACGCAAAACAAACAAAAAAAAACAGGAAAGCGGAATAGGCGGGAAGACCTAGCTTGAGTTTTCATGTAAGGAAAGCGGCAGAACCACTGAAATCTTTGAAAACATCTTTTCACTGGTATTACCCCAAGGGGGAGGAAGTTCTCCTGTGAGTTCTCATGTTTTCTGAGTCAGCAGATGACCTATTAAAATGTGTTAACAAGACAAACCTGAGCTTAGCCACTGAGAGATTTGTCAACCAAGTAAATTTCAAGAAAATGATTCCTGCCACTACAGTGTTACAGAAAGAGGCATTTTTGTGTCCTAGAAAGAGCACTTAATATGAATTCAGAAAATTCTTGTTAAAACCTTCACTCTCACTTGATCCATGTGATACAAGCAGAGTATCCCTTATCCAAAATGCTTGGACCAGAAGTGTTTCAAATTTTGAATTTTTTTAGTTTCGGACTATTTGCATATACATAATGAGATATCCTGGGAACAGGACCCAAGTCTAAATATGAATTGATTTCTGTTTCATATACACTTTGTGTATATATAGCCTAAAGGTAATTTTATACAATATTTGAAATAATTGTGGACATAAAACAAAGCTTTGACTGCAACCTGTCATTGAGGTCAGGTGTGGAATTTTCTACTTGGGGCATAATGTCGGTGCTCAGAGTTTTGGATTTTGGATTCTGGATTTTCAGATTAGGAATATTCAACATGTACTGGCCAAGGCTCTCCCATAGTGGGTTTGGAGACCCTGGCTCTCACCTGCTCTGTGTGATACTGGGTCAATCTCTCCCATGCTGGCTTAGGCCCTTGTGCTCTGCCATAGAACAGGTTTGTCATGAGGAAGTGAGAGGAATATATGCAGTTATGTGGCAACCTGGAGCGATGAAGGCACGAGTCACACACCTTGTTATCAGGTGGAAAGACTAGCTACTTCTCGAGGCTGTCGCCAGGCAAAGCTGCAGCCACAGTCACCGCCACCTCCATGGTCCTAACTGACCGGCTACTCAAGTTAGAGACAGGTCCAATGACAGGACAGAGTACTCTGCCGGGAGAAAACAGACGTCCTGATAATTCCAGGTGGCCTGGATTTGCCCATGGTATATAAAGGAAAAGCACTAAAGACACAATGGACTTCATCATAATCTAGTGCTGAAGGAGATCCCTCCAGCAAGTCAGACTTTGGTATGAACGTGACTTACACACCATCTCAGTCATTAAAATAGGACACAACCTAGCAACAGCTCTACTCTTGAGCTGCCAACAGTCAGGAAGGTCACACACCTTCGAGAGCTTGGGACCTTGGCCTGGAATCCGATCCCACTCACTCGACTGCCTAGCACGCTCCAGAACTCTTCTAGAAACTTGGACAAAGGTCACTGTTCCCATGGAGGTGGCGCTACCCAGAAGACACAAACATGCCTAATGGTGAGTAATGTGTATAGCACGTCCACAGAGAAACACGCAGGACACGGTCGGCCGGTGGGCCGCTGACCCAAAGCAGCATGGGCAGGTGGGCCCCTCCAATATGAAGCAGTGGGGGAGGTGGGCCCCTCGTGGAAAGGTGGCATCTGAGAGACACCTGCACGTGCCAAGAGAGTCAGCCATGGAGACAGGCAGGGACCCTCCCGACGGCCCAGCGTGTGCAGGGTCACTAGAAGGCAGGCAGGCAGGCTGGAGGCCAGTGGGCAAGGGTGTGAAGAGGAGATGAGACCCAGACAAACTTGGACCACCTGTCTAAGTGAAGGGAGAGACTTAGGAGGGCTGTGAGGATGTTCTCGTGGGACTGCTGTACGCTATGTCAAGGCTGTCCTGTGAAGGGACTGGGGGGCAGTACCAAGGGGTCCTGCCAGTCTCTTGCAGTGACCCAGGCAGGAATGGAGAGATGCTCTGGTCATGGGGGCACAGAGGTTGGTCAGGTTGTGAGGTCAAGCCAGTAGAGTTTCTGAACAGAGAAAAAAGGGGGTCATGCATGACTGCGGTTTCCTGCCTGAGCAACTCGAAGCATCAGCTGAAATGGGGAAGGCTGAAGGCAGGATGATGAGCAGTGCAAGGTGAGTGAAGCAGACCAAGATTTCACTTTGAGCATGCTGCACTCCAAAAGTCTTACTTGACTCCATGTGGAAATGTTACATGGGCAGGTGGATATCTGAGTCTTTAGTGTGCGAGAAGTTTGGACTAGAAATCAAATGGGGACATTGCTGGCATCAAAATGGTGCTACCGTCTCAGGTCAGAAGTGAGCACAGAGGATGGAGAAGGCACGCCCTGGACCGCCAGGGGTGACGGGTCACAGAGAGACCAGAGGGAAGAGCAGAAACCAGTGCAGGCAGCCTCCCAAATTCATGAAACTCAGCTGCTTCCAAACAGGAAAGGACCTGCCTCATTTATCTGACTACCTACCTGAAAATCCTGTGATGTGTCTTAAGAAAATATCTTAAGAACCACACTGGGTAGCATCGCTCCCTATATAGTCACGTATTTGCCCTTATCCTTATTAAGGAGAGGGCTAATATCTTCACAGAAGAGGGTCTCCCAGGGTAACCTGCCAATTCTTACACAGCAAGAATTCTATAGTTTTTTTTTTTTTTGAGCCAGAGTCTCGCTCTGTCCCCCAGGCTGGAGTGCAGTGGTGCAATCTCTGGTCACTGCAACCTCCACCTCCTGGGTTCAAGCAAGTCTCACGCCTCAGCCTCCTGAGTAGCTGGGATTACAGGTGCCTGCCACTGTGCCCAGCTAATTTTTGTATTTTGAGTAGAGACGAGGTTTCGCCATGTTGGTCAGGTCTTGAACTCCTGACCTCAGGTGATTCACCTGCCTCGGCCTCCCAAAGTGCTGGGATTACAGGCATGAACCACTGTGCCCAGCCAAGAATTTTATAAATAATGAGGTGCTATTAATAATATTTACTGGGGAACTGGGCTAAGAAATGCTCAGAAACATGTGGTTAAGATCAATATTAACACTCAAAATAATTATCTTTTAAAGAAAGAAACCCTCTGAATTATTTCTATGGAACAAAAACCTTATTGCAAGCATTATTTTACTGTTCATGTGTCATAGGATTCTTCATAGTATAAGAAATTCTCTTTGGGCCTGTAGAGCTGGCTGGTCTCTTCAATGCCTCAGGTCAGCACTTGCTCAATGCTGAGCAAGTATTTGCTGAATGAATATCTCACACTAAGGTGACTCTGATTAGTATCTTCCAGCTACACCTATGTACACCAAAACACACAAAGAAGTAGGGAGAAAAATGTATACTTTTAAAATCTTTGTTTCATGTAAGAAAAAAAAAAATGCAAAGCTCAGAAAATATGCCTTCCAATCACCAAGGAGGGGAGGTGTTTTTAAGAAAGGTTCCACTCTAAGGCATTACTGCCACTGTGCTAAACTGAGAGGGGAAAAGGAAAAGGGGACTATTATTTGGCGAAAAGGCCATTAAAGTCAAACCTTGATTCATGGGTTTTAAATGTACTGTCTGATACTGGCTTTTGTCTTTAGAAGTTGCCTAGAATTTGTCTTCAAGTTTCTATAAATATATCAGAGTCTAATTGTCTAGCAGGTGATGAAAACAGCACACACAAGCATAATGGGCCTAACTGATGTGCCAAAAAACTTCCCCAACACGACAACAAACACTCTGAACTTACAACAGACCATGACCTCAAATGTTTCTCAGCAGACCGATAAATTGGCATGGCTGGTAAACTGAATTAAAATCCACGTTATATTATTAAAGAAAACACAGAATACATACATGTTCACTGGAAATCTCTTACTCTACCAATAGACGGTTACATCTTAACTGGCTAATAATGTCAATACCCTTTCAACTGAGTTTATAACAATTGAAGGTTTAAAATCTATGTCTAATGTAAAAAAAATGAAATAGATTACTCATTGCAAAATTTATTTCATTTGCTCATGTATTTATGACTACATAAGAATACACGGAATCAATTTATGACTGAAACTGAGAAAAGGTCAAAACCATAAACAAACAGTAACACTTAAAATTAACGGAGAAAAGCAAAGAATAACTACATCTAGGAACATTCAAAGGCATGCTTCTAAAGTGTCAGGGACTCCATCTCCTGATGGAGGACACCCCTAAGGAGAACTGGATCTACTGAAAACATAAAACAGCCACCACTGAAAGAAAAGAAAATCAAGACAGGAAAAAAGCACCAAAGGGAAAGAAACAAGAACATACCAAATCTAGAACAGAGATTGCTGGCATAGCAGTCTGCTGCAGGTAACAGAGAAAGAAAAAAAAAAGAAAGATGAAGTGTGGAAAAAAAAGTTAGGTTTAGACCTGTAATCTGCCATCGGCATATTTTCTCACTATCATGCGTCATCTGTGTTTCAACAACTTGATGAGAAAGGTAAAGAACTGCACACTAACTTCTGTATTCAGAAACAGAAAAATGCCCACATGGTATTAAATGAGTTTCATCATTAAGATACATAGAAAATAAAAAACAGCAAAATTTCCCTTAACTTTCTTATTTGGAGACTAAGATACTAATTGTAACAGAACTACTAAGCAAAAAACAGATATTTTTTACTAAATTTTCATGAGAAACTTTCCAAATATCACAATTCATACTAAAAGGCTTTGAAATATTCAGTGTTTTAACCCATTTGGAAAAGCTCTGAGACCTTTCAATAAAAGTTGAGTCCTCACAGAAAAGGACACTTCCAGAAATACTACAAGGCTAACTGTTCATTCCTGTCAGGACACAGTTATAACAATAAGAAATGCTAACACTGTTGACTCATTTTGCCATACACAACAGTTGTATATTCAGAGTTGAAAATGCAGTGAAGGAAAAGACATCCTTTCATCTTTTGGGGTGTGGGCGACACAAGGCTGTGCACGTCCTTAGGTTACTAATGAATCCATCTGAGTGCACCCACGAGTGACACTGGCCAGAGCAGAGGAGCATGCACCTGACACTAGCAGGCCCAGGACCTTCCAGAGAGCTTCGACGGGGAGGGGCAATCACTCCAAGAATCCTGAACAGGAAATGCATAGTACTTTTAAAGTACCGTATTTTTAAAGCTACTTTTAAAGTAAAATAGCTATTAATTTAGGTGTTGGTTTTTCAAATAAAACAGCGCTTGCAGTAAACACAGCTACTCATCAGGAAGTTTACTACTGATGACTTGAGAAATACTAATAAAAATAGTAGTAAAACAATGTAATAATTCACACTTCGGCCTCATTTAAGAAACTTAAGTGTCTAAGGGGATTCAAGCTGAATTTTGGGCAAAGTTTTATATATATACACATTTTGGCTGAGATATGTATATATTAAGAAATATGTGTGAGAGAGACTTTTCAGGAAAAATTCACAGAGCAAATCGAAAAAGAATCACACTACTGGGCTCTAAGGATCTAAGGACTCACAAATTATTATTTAAGGTTAAATTTCACTGTGAGATAGAAAGATTAAAATGTCTGACCTAATAGCCCCTGGTAGAGCTTTACCATAAACTGCATAAAAAACAGTTGAAATTAGAAACAGAATCCAGAAGATAAAAAGAACATGGCTCTGGATCTCTTTTCTCAGAATATTGCACACACACTGTTTAAAAAAGAAAAAAGTCACTAAAACTCATGAACACAAAATGGTCAATAGCATTCTCTATAAATTAATATTAATAAATGCCCAAATTGATAGCAGTAAATGCCTCTTACCAGTTCTCTTTATAGAGTAACAAGGTATTGCTTTTATCTAAAATTTTTGCATAACAATTTGTTGTGTTAAATGAATTTAAATTTTACTTTGGTGAATTTATTTAAAACAAAAATCATTTTCATACTATAGAGAAATAAGAATAAAATCAGTTCTCAATAGCTTTATGCTACAATTGGAATATAATTGTTTATTACCTTAACAAATGCTTGCTTCATCAACAGTACAACTACTGTGAAGATTCTTTTTGGTAATGACTATAAATGTAATGATCTGAACACTTTCATTTGTTAACCACCACAAAATGCTGACAAGACCAGGGGCCAGTGATCGGCCCTATGTTTCTGTAAATAAAGTTTTATTGGCACAGAGACACACCCATGTGTTTACTTGTGTCTGTGGCTGCTTTCCTGCTACAACAGCAGAGCTGGGGGTTGCCAGAGTCCACATGGCCTGCAAAGTCTAAAGTATCAATCTGGCCCTGGAAGAAAAATTTTGCCTACCCCCAATCAAGATTATTACTGGTCATTAACAAATACTTGTTTTCTCAACTGGAAGTGTTAAGGAAAAGGATAATTATGAGTTTGCTAATGAAAACAATCAAGTTCCATTTGAATTGTATTTAATACTTGTCAAAGCACGTCTCTAAAAATTTAGCCTTATAGCCTTGACTCATTTCTCTACAACATCAGCCAAGAGAAACACATAGAATAAAATAGTATAAGCCTAGGGGCCCTTTTAATCCTTATCATCATGGGGGGGGGGTGTGTGTCTAGCTATCCCCATGGGAAACACGTAGAAGGTGAAATAGGGACCACAGATGGGCACAGCCAAAGCCCTCTCCCCTTTACCCTCGCTCTTCGTTCAGCCTCCAGGCGCTGCATGATGAGCATGGTGTCCACATCGTCGTCCTCCTCCTCCTCGTCATCTTCGTCCTTCTGCTTCGACTCCTGTAGTCTCTTCTGGAACTGCCACTCCAGCATGAGCTTGCGCAGCCGGTCGCTCTCCTCCGCGCTGCGGTCCGGTTTGCTCTGGAGCTCCTGGATCTCCTTGCTCAGCATGTCCACGATGTGCATCTGCTGCTGCTTCTCCAGCTTCTCCTTGGCATCCCGCTTCCACGGGTCAGGAGACAGACTGTCCCCCGAGGAAAGCTCCTCTTTGCTGACTGTGATGTACTGCAAGTCCCTGCGCTCGATCGTGCGGGGCTGCTGCTGAGGCTGTAGCTCCCGAATGACTGTTTCCTGGGGCCGCTGGAGTGTGGAAGGCTTTTCGGGCTTCATCTGCTGTGTGGTCAGGGGAGAAAACGGAGCAGGGTTTAGGGACTGAGTGCGCATCTGGCCCAACTTCCTCTCCTGCTCTCTCCGCTTCCTCTCCCGCTCCTCCTCCAGGCGGGCCTTCTCCTTCTCATACCAACGCTGATGTTCCTCTCTCTTTTTCCGTTCGGCAGCAGCCACCTGCGCAGAGGGTAGTCCTATCTGGTTGTTGGAAGGGGGTGGTGGGAGAGGCAAATCCATGGACATTCCATCGAAATCACCGGCGTAGTGGACGGGAGGTGGCGGGGGTGGCGGAGGCAGGTCTGTTCGGATTGGCTGGGAGACGGCCACAGGGGTGGCCGGTATTGCTGCTGGTGTTTTCCAACGGCCAGGGCCACTTTTGGTCAGTGTGGAAGCAGGGGTGACCGACTTAGAGGAATGGTTCAGGTGCTCTTGGCTTGATGTACTGGAGTCCAATGAGGAGCTCTGATTTATCCACATATCACTATCAGACTTTCTGTCCATAGCTGCCTCTATTCGATGCCGCTCAAGTTGGTAAGCTTTATCTTCTCGAAGTTCTTCTTGGGAACGTGTAACACGCTGGAAAAAGAAAAAGAACTATTATATTTCAGCCATTTACTAGAAATTACCAAATATCCACAGACATTTTATCTTCAGACAGACGAAAAACTGTTAAATGAGTGTACAGAAAGAGACTGAGACTGCCCTGCAAGGCTCATTGGCTAACGTGGAATAACAGTGAATTTATCTGTGTAAAGAGAAAAGCAGCCAAGCGTGGTGGCTCAGGCCTACAATCCCAGCACTTTGGGAGGCTGAGGTGGGTGGATTGCTTGAGCCCAGGAGTTTGAGACCAGCCTGGATAACACAGTCTCTGTCTCGACTAAAATTAAAAAGGAAAAGCTGCGCTTTCTCTCTGCATTGAGGCCCTTTGGTGCCAGTGCCCATCCTCATCCTCCTCACCCTCCTGCAGTGCCCTGCACCATCTCCAGCGCAGGGACCAGACATGCGACTTGGACTTCAAAGCAATGAGTGTGTTTATTCATAATATGTAAAAATCAACAACAGGCATTTCTCTAATTACTATTACGAGTAATTATTATATCTTAAACATTTAACCATCCGTGACTTTCTGCATTTTACAAGCTAAGGAATGGCTTTCTGGGCTCTGTGGCAGAGCTGTGCATAGTAATGCAAGGACATGTCCTACACATCTGAGATACATCCGCTCCAATATCAGAAAGGTCTAAAGTGTACTGGTATAAATTTGTTGAACACAAAGGTAGGGGTGTGTGTATGTGTGTGTGACAGAGACAGAGAAATGAGACACACAAACACACAGACAGAAAAAGAAGTGAGTACACTTTTTGCAAAGGGCTAGTCTAAAATCTGAGAAATGGCACATCTGAAAGGAGTCTACTCAGATAAACATGATCACTATGAGGTCTGAATCAAACATCTTTTTCCTGCCCTGTTAATGAACACAAATTAAAGATGTAAATCGGGAAAACAAATTATTTCCTTTTTCTTAAAAAGCAAACCAACAAAAAAGATGAAGTATCACTTCAAAAACCAGTAGTCTCACAGAAAAACCGAACATTTACTCCCAACATTTTGCTAGAGCTTTACTTAGTACATAGAGAGTCTCATTACTGGGTACGAAATCTATGGACTACATAAAAACAGAGACTGTGCACCTACCGCCACTCCCTGCTGCTGGAAGGGCTGACCTGAGTCACTTCTCTGCTCCCTTAAGACTTTGCACTGGCCCTGGCTGCTGGCTTGCACTCTCCACCTCCCAGCTTAAACCCCATCATAACTTTTCATTTCACACTCTGGCCTGCCGCACAGTTCCTCAATTCTCTCCTCTAGGTATTGTTTACCCATGTTGTGAGGTAGAAACAAGTAGCAGCTGTATACTATAAATGTGAAGACGTAATGCCAGTCCCACAGAACAGGAAATACTGTGCATAAAAATGGGATTCAATGTATGCACTACAAATTGGATTGTCTTGACATATGGGAAGCAGATTCTACTGAGTCCTAACAAAAAATACTAGAAGAACTAGGGCACAAAATTACTCAATTTTTAAAGAGAAATTTGGAGAAAGACACCTCCCCCCAGAGAACTCCAGCTTTTGGTGACAGAGTGTGTCCAAAACTCCCAAGACTGGGCCGTTGCAGGTGATCAGGCCCACCTAGGAGAACAGCAGGATGGACCAGCACACCAGACAAAAGGCCAAGATGAAATCTCCTGACGGCCAATATCTGTGGCCTGAGAAGCATTTTCTTTCCTCAGAAAACAGGCTCCTCCTCATGTGTATCACAGCGTCTATCTCAGTGCAGTCCTCTCTCCTCTGCCTACTGTTCTCATTCTTCAAGGCTCAGCTCAAATCCCATCTCAACTCTGAATTAGTCTTTTCCAACCACTCTAAGAAGGCTGATCTTCAGAATTCCCAGAGCATTTGCGATCCAGAGCATGTATTTGTTACAAAGATCTAGACTGCACCTCTTTTTAAGTATATCTTTAATTTTTTCTCCCAATCTTTCACCATACAGTTATCTTTCTAAAAAGAACACCACATTTGATAACGTTCCGAGCTTAACTACTCAGATTGGCATCTCCCATCTACTAATGTGGACAAAAATCCAAATTCCTTAGCTGTCATGTCAAGCCCTTCTGTCTGGCCCCACCTATCTTCACTGCCTTAGATCTCGCCACCTCCTTCACCTCCACTCAGGGTTCCTGCTGAACTACTACACATCTCTGTGCCTTTCCCTCCTCCTGGAAGGCCCTTCTGTGCATATGGCTGTGCCCAGGTTCTCGTTTGAGACTGAGAAGCTCCATCCCCTGCTGGGGCCTCTTCTCCCACAGTACTGACCATGCTGGGTCTGATGTGTCTGTCTCATTTCCCTGCCACACCATGAGCTCCCACAGGCAGGGCAGGGACTGATAGAGTGCAAAATATACCACGTGAGTTCTAATTTCTCACTTCTAGAAGCAGTGAACTTTGTCTTAAAAATTATAAGGCCTTATATTCCTAACATTTTGTTAATCAAACATCAGAGAATAATCCTTGTTCTTATTAAGTATTCTATCCTATCTCCTTTTTTCCTCAAACTTAACTACAAAACCATTAAGGAAAAAACAAAAGGCCAACAATGCTGTTCTATAGAAAATATTAATCATGTCTCAGAACTCAGTGTTTACTCCTTGAGAGGTGAGACGTGTGTGGAATCTTTGATTTCTAACCTGAATTGCAATACTGGAGTGATTACTATCTGTGTGCATATGTGGCTTTTCCTCATAATTTGGCCACTGGTTCTGAGGAGGAGCCATCCGATCCTGGGATTTGGAAGCTGGGAAGGTAAAATACTCTCTGGTGTACGTCTGAGTGGGGATGGGGTAGGCTTCAGGTCTAGGCGGAGGCGTCTGCTCCTGTAAAATGTGAAGAACAAAGAAAAGTGAGCTTTTTACAACCATACAGACTAACTTGATTTTCATTGATCTGTTTTAAAATTTTAAAAATAGTATATATGTTAAATACTGCATTAAAAAATGTTTTATCCATACTGAGAATAAATAACATTTCATTTTGCCCAGACTTACTAATTTAAAACTGATTTACCTGACTAGTATATTAAAAATCAAAAGATAAAACACTGCAAATTTAGAAATTATAATCAATGCTAATTCAGAGTAAAAATTGTACTGGATAACTGAGATGTCCCAAGGGAACCCTAAGTGTGGAAGTGCAGTAGAAGCCTTTTGCTTATCAATCAGACCTCAGTGCAGAGGTTTCCAGTAGAGACAGATGTTATCTTCGCTGCTGTTCCAGAGGCATATGCACTTTTCCCTCCAGGACTAGGAGGCTGATCTGTTCAAGTCAGGGGGGAAAAAAAAGTTTAATATTAAATAAACAACCTATATATAACATAAAATTTCCTTAAAGACCTCATTCATCTTCATTCTGCCAGTGAGTTATCTAGCATAGAGACGAAAAAAAAAACCAAGGCAGATGAGAAATCAGGTCTTGTCATATCCATGTCCATCTTTCAAATCATCACAGCCCAGAGCTACAAAAAAAGCTTTGTAGCTCTGTGTATCAGGCCAGGGATTGGTAAACATTTTTGGTAACAGGCCAGAAAGTAAATACTTTAGGCTTCGTGAGCCTTTGTCTCCTGCTGAGTATCTTTCTATTATTTCTTCTTCTCTTTGTTAACAACCCTTTAAAAATGTAAAAAATACTTTAGTTTCTCTTGGTAATTTACCAACCCCAAATAGAGATGTTATTAATGCGTTTGCTTATGGGATCAACTGAATCTAAAGTTTTTCAATCTTAGTTTTTGTTAGAGAAATGTTACTTAATGATATCCCTTATGAAAACCATATCATAGTTAGCCAATGTTTGCAAAGAATAATTTTAATAATTAACAAACCACAAAGTGCCTCCTCTCACTTCAGACTGTGACCATGAGTGTACTTAGGAAGCAAAAAAGTGTCACTCTTACTTGCTACGTTGGGGCTGGAACGGTGATCAGCTCTATTTTTCGTCAGTCTGTCATCACCGGGCAATTTCTTTGGTTCACTATATTCTGCCCAAGGCAGCTGAGGACTCTCAGGAGACCCATTTTGAGCGGAATTATTATAGAGTTCAAAGCCTTCACTCTTTGGTCGGGGTTTGCCTGAGCCACGACGATCTGAAACTGGAATCAAAGCATATTCAGTATCTCTTAAGATTTTATTTTCAACACCCTGATTATCATTAAAATTCTGTAAGAATTGTTCTTAGCATAAGAAATAAGGTGATTTTCCCTATAAAGGTCAATTCTTCCTACAGAATCATAAAACAGCTTTTAAGTAAATATACTAAGAATAAAGAAAATATTTTTACTTAATTGGTAATGATGGGAAGATGAACACTTTCGAAGTTTATTTTCTCGTTAACTGAAACTTCACTGTTTTAAGCAACAAATCTAACCATTTTTAAAGTATCTTTTTTAAAAAAAAAACTAAATAAAGATAAATATGCTTTCCTGACTTCACAGAAAAAGATCTGAACTTTTAATCGCCCAGTGTCACCGTTCTGAGCAGCCATCATGTGACACAAGCCTTCTGCTCCTGACGGCCGCCGCTTCTGTCAGTCCTCTTTTGTGCTTGCTCACCCTGGTTTATCATCTCCTGTTCACAGCTTCCCTCTGTGTGGCTTCTAACTCACATTCTAGTTTGCTTCTTTTAAATGACCACAAACTAAGAAATTAGACAACCAAGATGTTAGGCTCTATGTTACACAAAAAGTAAACAACATGCTGAGCAAGGCAGACAATACCACACTAGGTTTTGCTGAGATGCCCCTTGGGTGGTGTGTGTTTGCTTCAATAAGCAGCAGGTCAGGTTCTCTGACGCCTTGGCTGTGGCTGTGATTTGTTACTATTAGGTACCAACTTGAGGTTCTGGGTTGTGAGGTTTCTAGAATCCTGCCTTACGGAGGAGAAAGCCATAAAGGCCATATTTAGAAGTCTATGTATACATTTAACAAGGTGTGCTATGAATCAAAATGGTTTTCTCCTATTGTGTCTGAACTAATTAAAAGCCCTAAATTTGTATTGATTTTATCCTGAGATTCTTTTTGATGTAGCTATAAAACCACAGTTCCAAAAAATAAATTATTTAAATAAAAGATTTTTAAGTGAATTACAGTCATGCACCAAATAAGCCCATTTTGGTCAATGATGAACCACATCCATGACAGTGGTCTCCTAAGATTATAATGGAGCTGAAAAATCCCTATCTTCTAATGATCTTAGCCAGTGTAAAGTTGTAGTACAATGATTCCTCGTGTTTATGGTCATGCCAGACTGTACTGCTAGCTGTATACGAGTATAGCTCATACAATTATACATGGTATATAATACTTGATAATGTAATATGCAACTGGGTTGCTGGTTTATATATTTTACTATACTATACTTTTTATTGTTATTTTAGAGTGTGCTCCCTTTACTTATAAAAAGAGTTAATGGTCAAGTAGCCCCAGGCAGGTCCACCAGGAAGCCTTCCAGAAAACGGCATCGTCACCACTGGAGGTGATGGCTCCATGGCATGTCACTGCCCCTGAAGACCTTCCCGTGGAACCAGATGTGGAGGTAGAAGACAGTGACACTGATGATCCTGACCCTGTGCAGGCTGAAGCTAATGTGTGTGCTTATGTACGAGATTTTAACCAAAAAGATGAAAAGATAAATTTTAAAAAAAATTTAAAAATCCTTACGGAGTAAGTATAGAAAGAAAATACTTTGTACAGCTGCACAACATGCTTATGTTTTAAGCTAGGTGTTATCACAAAGGAGTCAAAAGTTTTTTTTAAATTTAAAATTTTATATAGTAAAAAAGTTAAGAGCAAGAGAAGGTTAATGTATTATTAAAGAAATAACTATGTATTTTTGTAAATTTAGTGTAGCTTAAGTGTACAGTGTTTATAAAGTCTACAGTAGTTATGGCCATGTCCTGGGCCTTCACATTCACTCACCACTCACTCGCAGACGCACCCAGAGCAACTTCCATCCTACAAGCCCCACTCAGGAGAAGTGGCCTTTGACGGGTCTAGCATCGTTACTCTTTTACACCTTTTTTTTAACTGTAGTTTTTCTATGTTGAGCTATGTTCTCACTGAATTACAATGGCCTGCAGTATTCAGTTGGGTGACATGCTGTGCAGGTCTACAGCCTAAGAGCAACAGGCTACACCATCTAGGTCTGTGTAGTACACTGTGATGTGTGCACAATGATGAGATAAACTAAGGATGAATTTTTCAGAATGGATCCCTCTTGCCAGGTGATGCATGACTGTATACAGAATGAGATCATCATGCCATATCTCAGCAAATGCAGGACTAAGGTAACTACACATATACAAATAAATGCCTATTTCTTCAGTGAAGAACTGAAACACTTTAAATCCTGAGTCTGCCTATCAAAACTGAAAATCCGTTCATTCATTCTCTAGTTTTTTTCCCAGTTCATCCTTAACATGTCACATTCATTCTCTACTGAGCACCTACCATGTGCTGGGCCTACAGAAGCTCACCAGCAGTCAACCAGCCCTGTGGGGAATCCTGGTGACAGGGAGGGGACCTGGTGACTCACAGTGTGGGTTCCAAGGTCACAAGGCTCACATGGGAATCCCAGGCACTGTGCTGAAGCGCTCGCATTCTCAATTTCTTTATTTTTAAAACCAGGGCAATAGTAACACCACTACCTCCTCCATGGGGTTTTGTGACTATTCAAAGAGGCCATGACTGTAGAACACTGTTTGACAGTTGGCCACTGTCTCCCTGCTGGTCCTTACTTCTCTGCATCATGGGGGATGGCTGATTGAGAAGGGTGGCCAGACCGTGGTAGATGGCACCCTGCTTTGCTACTTCCAGTGTCACCACAGAGCTTGTTCTTGTCATGAGTTCTGCTGCCCTAGGAGAAGAAGATTACACATGTAAGAAAAAGTGCCTGCTCTGTCATGAATAGCTGTGATCACAGCAACTGAAAATCATGTTCCACAGCCTCATCTATTATTTTGAGTAATGGTTCTGACTTTTTCTTTATTTTTAATTTTAATTTTAATTTTTTGTTATTTTTTATGGTTCTGACTTTCAGACAGCTTACTCACTACCCATTTTCTCCTTTTAAAACTGACTATGAAAATAGGCAAACACATCTCCTGTTATATTAAGAATAGTAAGATAATATTCAGAAATTTGAAGAAGTGTTAAGAGTATGTTTCTTTCATGTTTCAAAGAAACTGTACTAGATTAAAATATATATCTATAATTTGATAAGTGAAATGTCATGTACACTAAAAAAGGTAAAGAGTAGTATGAGCATGTTTTAGCATAGTTTTCATCTTCCAATTTCAATATTTAATGCAAAAATCACCTAAAAATGCTAATACTAAGCTTCAAGCAAATAAACCAATGATACCTTTCCTGAGAGAGTCCAACCAGACTTCGTCCATCCACGCTGAGGAGTTGATCACCTGCAGCTAGACGTCCATCCTAGGCAAATGCACAGGTGTGTGCGTGGATTAGGGGTGGAGAGCAGAGAGATGGAGGAAGAAAAGGTAATGATGAGTAGATACCCTGTTTCTTCTTCCAACAAACACTGTGTAGTGTTACATAACTGAAAGTATCAGCAGACTCTCTCACATCATTTGCTGAACATATGACACACTGAAAATTTACTTCTTTCAAAATGATACTGACCACATCTGCAGCACCTCCTTTCACAACCGACTTCACATAGATTCCTAGTTTATCTTGACCAGCACCCTATTGCAAAAACAAGGCAAGAACACTGCACTGAAAATATACTGTAAGAAATGCACTATGCAGGAAAGTAAAACAAAAATAAAACCACCCAACATGTACATAGGTAACTGCAACAAAGTCCTGGTTCTCATTTTTACATGAAAATCAGAATTATGAAAAATCAGTTATTCATGCATCAGCTAATGATGAGTCTAAAATAGAGACTTGGAATCCTGAAGTTAATTTAAGAATAGTTCTGAACAGCCACAAGTGTAAGTGAACTAAGAACTACTTGCATGATATATACTATGAATCATTTTAATAAAAAAAGCAACTTGGTACAGTATTTTTACATTTCACCATTTACCGATATCCTCCTTTATACCCTTGTTCTTTTCATACATATAGTTTAGGATTTTAAACGATAAAAAAACTTCTGTGGCTAACAGTAAGAGGAACTTAGTAAGAGAAAACCATACAGAAAATAATCAGTATTATAACTCATGTACTGTAACCGTAAATAAATATCAAAGCAACAAGACCCAATTCACATAGAATTGATATATTATGAAAGAATAAAATTCTGTTAGATAGACTTAAGTATTATATACAATTACTTTCAGAATCACCAATATTCTACTTGGATATCATGACTATACTAAACTTAACCCTATAACAATAAAAATTTTGGGTAATTTATTGCAACTATCAAAGAAAGCAGTCCTATGCATGAAATCTTACTTAGATATTATGGACAATATTATACAACTGAGAATAATTCCTTAGGTCACAACGATTGAAGGCAAATACAAATCCATTTCAATCACTGCGAGGCACTGTATGGTAAGAGTAAAAATACACAAATGATTTAATTAAAACAGATTCTCTGTAACATCCTGGAACTATGTAATTTTCACTTGGAAACCACTTACATTTGTCTCCTTTAGTTAACAAGTTAAGTTTACAGAAGACAGCCTGACTGGCCAGTACTGTTGATCCTGACTCCCTTTAGGGAAAAACAACAAAACAAAACAAAACAAAACAAAACGCCTGTAGCAGGTCAAATTTTGTAAGCATAAAACCATCCATACATATCTCATTTTAAAAACAGTATAATATTTCTTAATTTAACAAAGCAATTCCATTTTGGAAAGCAGTACACTTCAAATTTCATGTGGTTACATTATCTGGGAACTAAGTTTATAAAAGTTCTACGGAAAGCAAAATCAAATATTCTCCTTTGCAGCTTTTGATCTGAATTTTCCATCTGTTCACCTCGATATCCCTCTGTGTCTATCCACACATCTCTCCCGTGGATGGTTTCCACTCTCACCTCAATGCAAGTCTCCAGCCCAGTCCCAGATGCCTCACGGCCCACTTGCTACCTCCCTCTAGAAATCATTCAGCACAGTCCACAAACCACAACAGCCAAATATAACCTGTGGTCCTTGAACGGATCCTTTTGCCATAAAAAGCATGATTGGGATAGTTGGCAAAGACTGAGCTTTTTGTAAATTTACAATTTCAAAAATAAAAGATAAAATACACAGCAGGCACTCAATAAAGGGCAACTTTCTGAATTTTAGCATATCACTTAGCAAAAGAATAATAAATATGCTTTTTGCCTCACTATATCTGTGATAACGCTGGGTTTCCTTGAATCTAGGGACCTAAGACACACTACGGAAAAATACTTCTAAGACATGGCACCCCCCGACCACCCCTATTTGTGAAATCAGGTAATCCCTCATAATCTAATTAACCGAATTTTTTTACACATTTAATAATTTTATGTGATTCATGAATAACCTTAATTCTATAGCTCGGCTGTTTAAATGACAATTTCATTCACTGAACAAATATCCACCGAGCGACTGTATGGTCCTAAGCTCCATGCACATATCAATGAACAAAACAGACAAACACCCTTGCCATTTGGGAGCCTCTTCTATTCCTCAGCAGAGTTTATCTGTGGTCATTCACTAACAATTCTAGTTGGAGCGCTGAAAGTCCTTCTTTTTCTTTTCCTGAAAATGATGCATGCCTATTCCCTTCCAGCTGGTACCCTGGGTCAGGTTTTTAAAAAGTTCTACAAGCACTACTTATTTTTTCCTCTGCTTTCTACCTGACTACAGAAAAGCAATGATTACTGAACGTCGGAATGCCAACTGTCAGTGAGAATGGGCACCTCACGTTTTCACATGGCATTATCTTCTGGTTAATGTAATACTGACCTTGTAAAGAGTAAAAATCATCCTTTTACTAAGATAACCAATTATTATCATCTCTGACAAGAAAAATGTTTAGCAATAATACTAGTAATACAGCATTTTTAGTAACACTATTATAAACAAGGAAATATCAAATATATATTTTAAAACAATATATCAAGCCTCCTTCCTCCATTTCTGATATGCTTTACATGATCACAATACAGACCAAAAAATGGCAATTACTTAGACAAACTGTAATAACAAAACTGTTCTTAAAATCATAAAATAGAATAATATCAGAAAATGAGAACAGGACTATTTCATTTCTTCCTACAACCCAAGACCCTGCATATACAGTTGGAGCTGCCTGCCAGTCCAGCTCTTCTGCCACTCCTAATTTTCATTTTTGGCAGATGTCTTTGTTCCAATTTCACAATAAATTTCAGTTTCGTGGCACCTGTTACTCCATGTTTCAACCCCTTCATTCAGAGCAGTAATCACATACCTGAGGGCAACCATTAGGCTCTTTTCCATCCTAGCCACCCTCCACAAGCAGACAGCCAACGTGCAAGCTGAACATGTGGACTCCATATGAACGGCACATGGCATTTCAAGAACGCAAAATCCTCTACCATTTTAAGGTAGGTAATTTAGGATACTATATGCAATGTGAAATTTAATGCCTAAATTTAAATCCCGAAGCAAAACTGATCATGTACTACTGATATTTGACTGCACTACCTATATTTAAATAGGCTGAAGTTTACATCATAAATTTCAGACCAATTCTGGCAAAATGAGGAAGCTCTCCTCATGACTGATCTTCTGGTCTCCCTACGTCCAATCACGTTTCCTGAAGCACAGCTCAGCTCACACTATCCTGACCAGACTCTTGTAACTGCCAGCTACTGTAAAAATTCACAGTAGCTTCCTGCATGAGGTATTCACGGGTCCATGAACCTCTCTTGTCATTCTCCACCCAAATCACCCCTCACCTCCTCCCATTCTATCTGACTCATGTTCATGACTTGGTTGATGTTCTCTCTACACCAACTGTCTTTCTGATGCAAGGTATATGCCCAAATGCTCTCCATCATTCACCTCCGAGACTCACCTGCCAGCCCACTCACGTTCCCAGTGTCAGGGAAGATATCATCTCTTCTTCACTTATGTTCTCATCACATTGGACTTTCTTTGTTCTCTTTGAGCAGTGAGTCATTGTGTCCTGCATTACAGCTACCTCTGCAAATGGCTCCTTCCTCCAACTCCATTAGAAGCTTCTTGAATATAAGGAGCTCTATCCCTTCCAGAAGAGCTTCTCAATTAGATTGACTTATAGTTTACTAACATTGATCAATAAGAAATTTGGTCAATTTCCTATTTTAAAAACCTAAGATGAGGAGGTCTGTAATTTTACAGAATGAACACTAAGTTAAGAAGCAACTGATATGCCCATTATATATGGGTTAGCAATAAAACTTTGTAAAATTACTAGTTTAGAAAGATAGATACAAAAGTACTTCAGGCTGTGGCACCCAATGTGCCCTTTTAGGAAGGGAACTCAAATTCATGACTGTCAGGAAAGACACAAGTAAGATACATTCTATTTTCTTATATATTCAGAATGTATCTGAATTCTCAGTAATAACCACTTCTTTTAATTCCAAGTAAACTGAATTTATAAATATATCTGTTTGTCACAAAAAGAGGTTTTCATTTAAGGAAATAAGCATCCATGATAGAGCCAGGCATGGTGGCAGTCATCCCAACACTCTGGGAGGCTGTGGTGGGAGGACTGCTTGAAGCCAGGAGTTCACGACCAGCCTGGGCAACATGGTGAGATCCTGTCTCTACAAAAAATTTTTGAAAAGCATTCATGATTATTAGAGACCTCAATTCAAAACACTCATGAAAATCTAAAAGGTCTATTCAAGGTTGGTCATAAAAATGGAATTTGATTAAAAGTCAAGACAATGCATCATGAGATATATTTTGAAAACACTCTTAGACACAGGAAGACAAAACGATGTGCAAGTAAAGCATATGGATCTGGAGAATGTAAGAGGTATCCACACTTCGGTTGGCATTTGGACCTCCACTTCACAGACTGCTCTGCGTCACAAACGTTCCCGCGGACACATTCCCCGTCCACTGCCTCTGCACCTTCTGCACACACTCCTTTCCCGCAGACCCACTGGCCCTGTCCACATGCCCTTCCCTCCTATCACCTCTGGTTATTTGGATCCTACTTCTACTTCAGGTGCAGCTCACAGTCATAAACTGGTCATAAAAATTCTAACTACAACTGCTGTATGGAGAAATTACAGTTCTACTGGTAATTATCTTAGCAAAACAAAATTAGAGATGACTACCCAGAGATGAAAGAACTCTAGGAAATGTCTGACTATTTGTATCACATCAATATGGGCAATTACCTTCAACCCGAACCACCACAATCTCTGTCCAACTACAAGGTGTCCACTTGTCCAAGGTTTCTCAATCTGGCCATGGCAGTACAGGCCTGGAATGTGCATCCTGACTGGGGGAAGAGCAGAGTAAAGAAGTTCTGCTGCATCCCTGCCTCAGCTGCTGGTCAGATGCCTCAGCAAACTGTCATCTGTTGAGCCATAACAATCCTTTAACATTATGGAGCTCTCACTACCTACCCCACTTTATGAACTGTACTGCCTATGGTTAAAAAGAACTGTATGAAACAATTTATTAATTTCAGAAATATTAAACCACTTAATTTAGGTTTTATTTCTAAACAATAACGCACAATCTATGTAGTCTATTAAGGCTAAACTC